AGCCATAGATTCAGAGGGTAGGAAGAGCCGAAAGGGCCATGTAACGCAGGACAGGCTCGGAAAGAATAAGACGTTCTTATGTTTCTCTTTTGCATGCACCGAATGCAGATTTAGAGGACGGTTGCCGAAGTACTCTTTACTTGTCGCCAGATGCGTTGCTTTGTGTATTCCCAAACAGAGACAGACAACAGACAATGCGGGGGGGATGGGACTCCATAATATACAGCCGGAAGTCATAGTGCCCCTCGTGTCTGGCAGTGACGGGAAAAGCCTGTTACTCCGATTTGTCATTGCTTGAAGAGCATTATTAGCACGGCTGGTTGCTAAGCTATCTGGAGAGTGGTGTTTTGGGTCAGAAATGGATGCACAAAAGTGGCCAAGTGATGATGGTGACGAAAAACCATGTACAAATGAGAAATTTGGTTTGTGTGTGTGTGTGTACACAAAAAAATAAGAAAAGGTAATGTGCGCGCTCGTATTGGCAGGCATTGAAGAGACTCAGACACACATACACAGACGAGAACAAGTAGACAAGATGTGGACTCATGCGTCTTGCCGGTCTCGCCCTGTCCTACAGTTACTGTCGCCACTTTTGGTGCGGCTGGTAGCTACAGGCCAGAGGGTCACCGGCGTCTGCTGGAGGCGGGTGGAGAATGGTCGAGCTGGAGAGTGTGCAAAGATCAGAGGGACTGGCGCGTCGGAGACTTGCAAAAATGGGCTTGAGAAGAGAAGATGAAGCTCATAAGAGGACGTCTGGTGGGTGAGTGGGCGGGCGGGCTGGCTGGCTGGTAAAGAGGCCCATCGGAGGAGGTCATCATCGCGGCGTAGACGACGTGGATGGGATCGTCTCACCGGATTCGTCGACTTGCTTGAGCAGACAAAACAGGGCGTGATCGGAGCGGAGAGGCGGCAAGTAAAAAGGTCCTGAAGCCTGGTAGCGCTTTGAGAAAGCCTGTGGAGTAGATTATTCATAAAGGGTCGGTTGTCATACCGAATTTAGAGGAGGCGCTTTTCTGTCCTTCATCTCAGCCCGACTCGAAAACGGTCGGGGAGAAAATGAACACTATCTGCAGGAATTAAAACTGTCTCTATTTATGTGTCTGCTCGGTGTGTGTGTGTGAGAGTGCAAGGAGTGGATAGATGTGTGAGAAAGGGAGAGAATATGTACGTGTTTGAATGGGCAACAGTGAAGGGATCCGGTTGACTGGTGTTATAAACTGGCTAAGAGCTGAATGCCGCTTAACTCAAGGTTAGAGTTGGAGAGCTCAAATTCGACTGTTCCACGTCCTATTCTGAACAGATCAAGTGGAGGGAAATGGCATCATGGCATGAAGCGGAGAACTTGTCACTTCTCTGTGCCCGTTGTCTGTGGATGGCATTTCATGAATGCTTCTTGTTCAAAGTCAACAAGGGTTTGGATGATATTTCATTTACTATAGGGGGCAAGAGGAGTATATATAAGATATATATATAAATATATATATGCATGTATATACATATATTTGTATATCAAAATGAGCCTATAGAGTTTCGGAAAAGGGTGGCGGTCGCCTTTAATCGCAAGATGCGTCATTCTCGACCTGGTCATTTGTCTAAAGAGTGCCCATTTGAAGTATGTGTAGCCGACCGAATGAACGGGTCTGACGGAGGGTTGGGTCACTCGACAGAGTGGGTGGAGAAAATAGGAAGCGGGGTAGGAGAAAGGATAAAAAGAGTGGATGGGACGAGGAGGAGAGAGAAAGACACACTCCCCGTTGAGTTGATTTCCTCTTTTGTCCCGGCAAAAGGGTGTCAAGTTGGTGATGTGGGGGTGGGGGTATGGAGGAGTGAAAGTTTTTATGAAAAGGGCTGGGAGGTGCGGAAGAGAAAGCTTAACAAAAAATAAATAAATGGCGCAAGTGAGCTAAATCTTGATGAAGAAAAACCATTTAGAAAAGATAGATATATGCATATTTCTACATATATATATATATATATATATACATATATATATATATATATATTCATTTATTTATTTAATATAGTATATATATATATGTATATGCGTGTATATAAGTATATGCTTTGTCTAAAAAATATGACGCAGACAAAATTGGTCCACCCGAGGCAAGTGGCGCATCGCATTGCATTGCATTGCATTGCATTGCGTTGCTTTGCTTTGCTTTGCATGACATTTCGGTTTATCTGCGGACCTCTTGCGCAACGCAGGGCCAGAAGGAAGGAAGCATTCAAGTTGTGTGGAGAGGGCAACAGAAGCGTGATTGCCATCTGCGACGTGATTGAGCAACAGTCGGTCAGTGGAGAGAGTCTAGTCGAGTCGAGTCGAGAGAGGAGGGTGTGAAGCGATCGTCAAAATCGGAAACTGGGAAAGGCAAATCCGCCGCCGGTCTGGAGACGCGAGTAGTCAAGCTTCAAAGCCGAGGCCGACTCCTCGTCCAGCTTGTCGGCCGGCGTGAGTTCGTGCGAATTGGTCTGCTCGTGGGGATCCAGCATTTCCTTGTCGGTATCAAAGCTCGGCCCATTTCCACCTTCCCCTTCCTCTTCCTCTTCTTCCTCCTCCTCTTCTTCTTCTTCCTCCTCTTCCTCCTGTTCTTCTTCACAGCAGCCACCGACTACACAATGGGTCTCTAAATCCTCATCTATCTCTGCGTTGACTTCCGTCTCAACTTCGGCATCGGCGTCGACGTCGGCATCGGAGTCGGTGTTCGGCACAACAACACTCCTGGCAACAAGGCATCGCGTCGATCTGTCCGTCTCTTCGGCCCCGTTCAACACGGAGCCATAGCCTAAACGTCGCTTGGAGCCGGCGAAATGACAAGACAGCATCGGAGTGCCTCTGAGGGGGGAAATGTCGAGGTCGGGTCTCGAGGTAGCCCCATCTGGTTCCTCGGGGCGGCTGTCGGTCGCTGCGGTGGAGTGCGTCAGGTCGAGTCGCCTGGACAAGCTGATGTCGTCGCGAGGCAGACGAACAGAATTTGGCGCGTAGCGCTGCGGCGGATGGAGATGGTGTCGCTTCCGATGGTGGTTCAGGCCTGCCGGACGGTCCGACTTA